CCCTTTTTTTTTTTTTTTTTTTTTTTTACGTAATTTCTTTCTTAAACGGCTCGTAACGTATCTCGCGCACTTTATTGCCACGAACATCGTGCAAAGAATTACGCGATATCCGAAAGAACTGTGTAATTTTCTATTTTTATCGATTTTCCTTGGTACACAAAGTAACAAATCTATGTAACCTACTTTACTTGTTCGCGGCCATTAATGCACTGACATTTACCAGCGTACAATCAAGATAATCCGATATTTAATGAAACTTTCTTTCGATATTCTACGTATCGTCGGTTCGTTGGAACAACGACGCAACCAACGAAACCAGATATCGTTTAACAGATCGTTTTCAAATACTTTGCGATAGAAAATTATTCTACAATTATATTTCCACGACTCTCGATTTGTTTGAAGTGCAGAAATAGCCTGACGGATTAGAGCCGAATTGTTCGAATGATTAACGAAGCAATTGAAACCGGTGTTTAAACGGTAATCAAGAACGAAGCGGAGAATTTCTTCGAAATTTAACTGGTTATAACCGGGCGACACGAAGTTAACAATTCGCGGTGCCTAGCCGCTCTCGTTAATTATTCCGCGTTTCTACATTCGTCTTACTAATTAGTAATTAGCCTCTCTTGCCAAGGATTTTCGCGTTGATGGAATCTGTCGCGTTTATCGGAAAACTCGCACGTGTCTTTCCAATTAACATTATCTATCGCATCTGGAAACAATCGCGTCTCTTACGTCCACATTCATCGCTACGTTTTAAATTTTCCAACGATGGACGACACAATTTCCAGCAGACGTTCGAGCGACGAATCGGGAACGAAGGAAATTTTTAAGGTAAGAAAGGGGATGATGGCATACGTAAAAATAGAAGAACGAGCGCTGCTATCGATTGCACGTTTATGGACGCTATTATCGTCGAATTTATTATTTATAACGATGGTTCGCTTCTTATCAGAAACGCTCCTGCTCTTTCCATCTTCGATTTTACGCTTCGCAAACGATTGTTTATCGTGTTTGTAATTTATCTTCTTGCGAGTTTATTAGGATTTTTGAAATATTTAGAAAATACCTGTTTACTTTACCATTTTCGAAGAAATCGATCAGAGCGAGCCGGTAGCAGCGCAGCCGGTCATCATTTCCTAAATATATAATTTTGTTTTTCGATATAAAACGTAGAAACTATTACATCGCTCTTCCATTTCTTCGTACAACGTGAAAAATAAATTTCCTTCGTGAATATCCCATTTTTACGGATCTTTTGCCAATTGTGAAAACACACGGCGGTTCTTTTTATCATAACGCGTAAATGTTTCGCCAATTTTTTTATAAATCGTACGTAGTTGCGAAAGAGTATCGGGATTAACGTATTGACTCTGCTCATCCACGTGAAAGACGAAAATTTCGTCGTTAGTATGCGTACGCGTTCGTAGGCGATGCAATTACCCGCATACTGGCTGATTCAAAAATATTGCGCGCGTTAATAGCTTTGTATAGGGAGAAATGCCTGTAATTAACGAGCATCGTCCCAGGAAGTTATCAATGGGGCAAATTTGACGCTGTAATCGATTATTTGTAAGTAGAATTTTCCTGGTAAACCGAAATCCATCTGAAAACAAGTATTCGCATTCTATAGAACGACTGTAATTTTCCTACTTTAATTTATAATTTAAGGACAAGTAATGATTATAATTAGATCGTAGGTGTTTACGCATTTATGGCAATTTATCGTATATATACATTTATTGGAAAGCAAAATTTCAGCAAATTTTGCTGTATTTTGTATTTCGCGTTACGAGGTACGTACGATCCGATTGCATGAAACCCGCTACTTGGAAAATAGATTTCTTCGGATACGTGAAAAATTGTTCTATTATGTTTGTCGATGTTGCTTTGCTTCTGTATATGTAACATATAAATTATTACGCGATTCGTATCATATCACAATTCATATCATACGTGTACACCGTAGAAAGTAGAATATGGCTGGGACAATAATTATATGTCAATCTTATCCCACTGAATGCCGCCTGGTTTAACGTTACCGTTCCGATGTAAATAAAATTACATCCATTAGCGCAACAGTAACGATATCAGTTTCCAAATTCGAAAAGCCCGCCAGAAAACCTGCGTTTCGCGTTATCCATATAGCGACAGTTGCCGTATCGCGGCAGTTATGAAACGAGAATAAAAAAAAAGTATTTATTTTAACGCAGAGGAGATTTCGTTTGTTCGAAGCTTGAGTTTAAAATTCGGACTTAAACGATAACACCCATTAACCATACCTACGAATTTTTATGTTTCAATTTTACTCTTGTTAGGATAAACAAAAGTATTTTTCAAAATATTTTACAGCAACGCTTCAAGAACCGCACTTAACGCTTTTGTTTTTCAAGTAAAACGATGAAAACGCGGTATTGTTAGAACAGGCAAAGAATAAATAAGTTTGTGTTGAAGCAATAAAAATGGAGAAAAATGAATAGCATAAAATGAACTTAGTTATGCACTCTTGGAAATAAATGTCGCTCCGATATGCGATATATGTGATAGGAAAATCATCACTGGTCATTTCAACCTATATTTTCGATATTTAAGATACGCGATCGAACAACGCGTGCACATATTTTCAAATTTCGCTGCTACGCGTATGCTTAGATCGCTGTGTTGTTAGTTGGTACGTGTACTGTACGCTAGATCGCGCTGCAGTATAGCGCAAGTTGGCGAATTCGTTGGTACATACGTACGTTGCGTCCGGAGAATATTTCAACAGAGCCATATATGTGCGTACATAGTTGCAAAGAATATAGAAACGTTTGTCGTATTATCGTATATTTATATTTTGTACGATTACGCGAATGATACAACGCTTCGCCGAGTCAATAATCGTATAATCTTGAAGTTTATTCCTTTCGTTTTGTATTTTCTTCTAACTTTATCGTTAACTCATTTATCGAAATTTTGTCAATTTTTATTCACGTTTATCAAATAGATAATTACCGATATCTTAGGTATGAATAATTTTGATGTAACTTTAACAGGAATTTTTATCGATCTTGTCTACGTGATAACGTGCGCCGATAATACGTAGTCTTAGTTCAACGGCTTGTTACAAGATGGCAGTATCGAATTTGCTCGAACGTGTAATATTGATTTTTAATACTTTGATTTTAACGTTAAAAGAGACCACGTAAGAACGACAAATGTAAATTGCATTCGTATTCTAGTTGTAAGAATGCGTTATTACGGTTAATACAAATAAATACTTGTCCTTAATTTTTAAGTCACTCAATAAACTTTGCCGTTACGTTGTTCAACGATACTATAGCAAAGCACACGGTGAAACGTCGGAATTGGAATTTCATTTCGGTAGGTTGAGGTGGTTCAGGCGTTGAGATCGAGGGATGAATTCGATCGATCGAACTTCAATAAGACATTTTATTTCTCTCGTTTAACACAACTGTGTGACGCACGTGTTGTTGTTCCTGCTGTTATTGTTGTTGTCGTTTTTTATGTACAGAAAAATCAGCTCGATATACAAAGGATGTCTGCGACGCGACACGGTGAAAATAAAATCGTAGAAAAACGTTACACGCTACACGATTCGGAGGAATTGCGAGGACGTGGTGTGTGTCGTCTGTTCTAAAAAACGGGCGACAGAATGAACAAATGTTTCGTGTTTTCGCCACGCGCGCTACGCACGTCTAACGCCTAAGCGTGCGCGCGCGGCGTCCTACTATCGAATTATTTCGCCGCAGCGCAGTTTATTAATTCGCGACGATCGATATTACAATTAGTCCTTCAAAGTGAATGCTCAAAGGCAATGCGCCCGCTTCGATTATGCATAAAGTAATCCAATAACTTGGTTGCAATTTAATGGCGCACGTTCCACCTGATGTCCTACATACAAAGTATTATAAATAAGATCGTCCTTGCAACGCAATCGAACGACGCGTTCTATTCGTACGATGTATAAGCTACACGCGCTCTTACGGAATTCATCGTACAGCGAAAGCATCGGAAAAAATGACGCGCTACGTTCAACGATCCGAGGCAGGTTTGCGGAATCGTGTTTGCAGATAATCGACCGAGGATGGGTCGATCACAGTCGACGATCGTTTCGTTTGAACGATTCCCTTTTCGTTTCTTTCCACCTTTCTCGACCATTCGGATCTCTTCGATTGGTTAGGTATCACGCGTAATTTACGTAACTCTAGGAAGAAGGATATATATATAGTATATATAGTATATCTCGTTCTGTCGTTCGTTATAAAATTCATACAGAATACGCTCTTCGATAACGACAAACACGAATTACATCGTCTGCGCTGATTTTAGACGTATTTACAACGAAAGTAATCGCACACGCGACATCCACGCTTTCGTGACCGCTAGCGATTTTCGCGAAGAGAATCGCCGATCGTCAACGCATCGTCACCCGATTCGTCTGGCGTAAAAACGTTATCGCGTATTCTCCTAGTCGAATGAAGATGGAGACACCGTAATTTTGTTCGTTTCGCGTAACCAACGACACTACCACGAGAATTTCAATCGACGTGTACGCGTCCAACGTGAATATTCCGCCGATCGTTCGACGATGCGTTAAGCAGCAGCGATAACTGTGATTTAAATGAAACGTTATACTCGGCATTTTACGCGATAGCTTCATGGTCGGAGTAGCTAGTAAAATATATTCTCATCGAATCGTCTATGGAGAAGAAAAGACACGAGTAAGCGACAATCTCTGTATTTCCTCTCGATCGAAGTTATTTTCGCTAGTTAAATCGACGTAACGCGGTCGAACGGTCGCTTAACTAGAAACTCATGGGAAATTGCCACTGGCGAAATTTCGCGTCCGTAGGCGAGCGGTCACGCAAGTGTTAATATTGTAGGCGATGCGATATTAGGAGACTTCACTTCCCTTGTCGGCAGTTCGTGCTATATACACAGGCTTTAAAGTTACGAGTTATACATCTGGACGCAGAATTCTCGTACCACACGATCGTGTACCAGCGACCCTTTTTGCTAGCTATACAAAGTAATTATCGGCCGTCGCTCGTTCCCGAAGCGTCTCGAATTTATCCTACGATCGATAAGTTCGAATCGAATTTCAAGCATAGAAAACGTAGTATCCTTTGTAACGATAATTTCGTCGCTAAGGTTCGCGTTTCGCGTATTCGTTGATCACTTTGACCGCCACGGTGACCGGAGCGCTCGACGTCTTACAATTGTAAACACTAAACGAAAATTGACAGTTAGGGCATTTCGAACATAACCGATAAGTAGAAGATACTTTGAAATAAAAAGTGCCCCATTGAACGATTAAACATTTTTATTAGAACATCAATAAAAAAAAAAAAATAAGAACAAATCTTGCATTTAACGGTGTACTGTGTTAAAACACTGTGGCGTCCTGAGCGAAACACGCGATTTCGGCGTGGCAGTCGAAGTGTTTGTATGAAACGCGTAAAGAAAGGAAGCTTCGTTCTTCCATTTTCTTCATCTTAGATTCGAAAGCTGTATTTCTTTTTTCCGATTGAACCGTATATGATACAATCAGGTTTGCGGTAGTCGATACAAAGTGGAATAAATTTGAAAGCATTCGGAAACAAGCTGCGCAACGATGAAACGTGGCAACAGAATCGGATACTCATTTTTTATACGGCCTGCGGCCGATCGTTGACAATTTACACGCAAATGCGCGACGAAATAATATTTTACCAAAGCATGGACGCCTGTCGATATCCGACTATCCGACGAGCTACCCTCGCAAACGATATTGACTGCCTTCGTCATTGTACGGTGGAAATGAGTCTAGCACAAAATATATCATATGTATGTATATATGTATACATATATTTTATCGTCGATAATTGTGTTCGAGGCGCACAGCCGCGCCCCGACGCCATCG